GAATGAAAGGTTTTTGTTATACATTAGATTTTGGGCACGAATATTAGAGTATTGCGAGTTAAATCAGTGGGGGAAATTGTTGAATTACTCAGTTGATTCGTGGAGGCATCCATTCCCCCTGAGTTGATAGTTGGGAGTGCAGAGGTAACCTACATTAGCTTCCAGTTTTACAAGATTTATTATCGAAGAGGAATATGAGATCATCTACCACCGACAAACAAAGGAGCCTAGGATTTATTTTTTCTTTACCTATGATGCAAACTTCATTTAATTTAGGAACATTTATTCATTGGACAAAGGGTTTCTTTATTGATGACATGGTAATTCTATTATCCTATCATGTTCTTATTAGTTTTGTCTTTGGAAAGAAAATATGAGAATCCCAGAGTTATTATGAAGTTGGTTTGTATGCGACCTTCGCATCTAAAATTTTAGAAAAATGTGATTGTATATTAGATTCGATTCTTTGATCTCCGTGGATGTCTTGATCATAATTTTAGTTTTTATAATATTTAAATTTATAGAATTGGTGTATGTTTCAAGAATTTTTGTAGTTTAATTGGTTGATCAAGGTAACATTTTCATTTTTAACGTGATGCTAATCTATAACTTCAATTTTTTAAAAAATATATATTAATTATTATATGTATTTAAGAAGAAGATAACCAAATCAAGATAATTATTAACTATAAGATAATTATTAATTGATCTGATTATTTAATTCAAAATCCATTTAATTGTAAAGCGATCGAATTAAGCTGCTCATGCATAAAAAGTAATTAACGTTCATTTGGAAACTAAGCTGATCCAGTCTGATCTCCATTCTACATATATATTCCCTCCGGTCCTTATTATACGACATTTTGATTTCGTCCTAGGTTTCATCTAGTATGTCTTTTTAATTAAAATAAAAACCTTCAAAATATTTCATAATAATTAGGAGAGCACAATGAGGGCGAAAATATATTTTTTAGATTTTTTTTCCAATTAAAAAGACATCCTAGGTTAAACTTAGGACCAAATCAAAAGGCCTTATAATAAGGATTGGAGGGAGTACATAGCAAACCTTCTCACCGTCAATTTCAAAGTCACAAACCATGGAAAAACAAATCCACACCGTACGTCCATTATTTGAATGTCGTTTGCGACTAAGATATTGTCAAGTCTGGGAGTTTAGGGCAATCATTATCAAGTAATATGAATGAGATCCTTCTCATGAATGATAACGTCAGTAATTAACTCGGTACATGAATCTGAATTACGTGCATAATGCTTTTGGTTTGACATTGCTTGGGAAATTACACTGTGAAGAAAAAAGAATTGTTGAACAATAAATCACCGCGCTAATCGCTAATACTAGTTATAGTGGCGAGATATTTTGATTTGCGAGCAAATGTCAATCTCAAATTGACTCAAACAAATCGATTTATAAATAAACGGAAAAATTCAATCTAAGTGAAGTTTGTATGATTGTAACTTAAGCAAAAAATACCGCAATCCAGTGAATTTTCATATAGTTTACATTTCTCATACTCAACAATAACGTTATTTAAGTCAAACATCCCATAAAAAAAGTTATTGCATATTTGAAATAATTGAAATTAAAATATATAAAAAATCATTTATGAAAAGACATACATTTACTCTTCATGATCACACTGAATTAGAAAAAGTAAATCAAGATCATGATTAATTTTAGAAAGTATATATCCAAAAAATCATGATTAATTTCTCATCTTAATATACATATTCAAACATTAACTATCTTTACCCAATCAATTACTAACTAATATTCAATCCTAATTCCGGCAATTGTGTGCCACTCCTTTATCTCTTAACCCTAATTGATTATCCTAATTCCTAATTCCGGATTTTGGCGTCTACGGAACTGGGTCCTCAAACCTCTGATGGAGTCCCTTCTGCTTTGTCCTAATTCCGGAATTTCTTCTTTGTTTTGTTGCATTTTTTTTTTCCCGAGCAACAATGTGGTATTAGGATAATATTTGATTATGGAGTGTCATTTATGTTAGTCAAATAATAAACCAGCAATGAAAAGTCATGAGATTCTCAAGTATAATTATGCATTTTTAACACGGACCATCACACACTTAAAAGAAGAAGAAGAAGAATTTTGCATCCGTTGTGAGGTTGAAATTTAGTTGAACAAGTGACTAAAATATAACTTGGGAAATTGAACAGTCTACTAGCCTAGTTTCAGAATAGGAGTATATCTTGGGAAATTGAGACGATTTGAATATTGAAATAAATTTGGGGGTCAGCAAAGTGGGAAAACCAAAATAAAATTTGAGAGGTTTTTGAGCTATTGAGAAAATCAGGGGTTTCGTTAAACCGAGGAAAAAATTCCAAAACATAGAGCAAAACTTTATTGAAAATCAAACATGTTAATATTAGCCATCGATTCCTTCACTAAATTAACTCAAATTCAAGGTGAAATTAGTCTTCTTTTTTTTTTTGGAAGAGGGTGTTAAATTCTGACAAAAGTTAAATTAAAAAGTTTGATTCAAATTTAATTTTGATGTAACTACTCGTAAACTAATTGTTTATACCGAAAGGAAATTCACGTATTCACGTAGCACAAATTTTGTTATTAATTTGTAGTAATAATTTGAGTAATGAATCAGATTAAAATCAGTTCAAAAAACATAATCAAGTTAAACAATTTTGTCCCTACCACGAGATGTACTAACTTTATAGTATTAAATTGATTCTACTTTTTATTTATGTTCTTGCACATCTAAGTAACCTCTTAATTGATATCCTTAATTTATTTCTTAACAACAATCAGATATATAAGCAGACGGAACTTGGAAAGCCGTTCAATTGATTCAAAATTAATAGAGAACAGCTAATAAGCTAATTCAAACCCGTTTGGGCTGTTGTCCCAATGCTCCATTAATTTATGGATGTTTCCGAAGCCATTCAATAACATCATTCATATGTAAACAGTCAAAATGCCTATAGTGTTTCCAGTAATCATTTTCCTTTTCATGAGTAAACAAATAATTTCTGTGTATATGGAGATGGAAGCCACATTTATTAGTAGTATTCATCGTGCTCACTGATATTAATTGGATAATAATCTGAATAACATCATGTAAAAATATTTTTTATAAAAAAAATAATTTAGAAATTCCTGAGTCAGTCTTAAGATTCTGTAGGACCAAAAAGGCGCCACAAGGCGGTGTTGAGATAAAAAAAAAAAAAGAGACGATTTACAGTTGTATTCCACATTAACAGTCGAAAAAAATGAACTACATATAGTCACTGTTTTAATTTTTAACAAAAAAGGAGTCTATATTATCGTCACGGCGTTTCAGAAAGTCTTATACTTATCTAAGGCACTAATAAATCATTGACCCTTTAAATTTATCGTTGGTTTGTGATTGAATTAAGTAAGGATTGATTATTATACATGGAGATGATCTCCTTGGTGTCGAAATAGATTTTGGATTCACCTTTTCAATCTTGGTTATTGCACATATTTTCACTTACTTGAACCGTTATGCATTATATAAAGCCTCTCAAAAAATTGAATCAACTACTCTTTTTCATTCAGATTGAAGTTCCCTTGTGAATGAACATTATTTGAAATCGATGGATCAAGTGAATTGATTCACTTTTACTTTGCGACAAGCACAAATGGCAGTTCAAATATTTGATAAAGCTTGATCTCCTATACGAGCAAGCAAAAGCTGCAGGTCAGGCACATTGACCGCATTCACAGCCACACTGAGATCATCATACACTGAGGGACACTCAAGTATACATACATATGTTTCACAACACAGAAAGGAACACAATACACTTAGGATTATGAGGTCTGCAGCACTATGTCACAACATCCTGCCTATTCAAGATTTAACTCGAGATAGAACAGAAGTCAAGGATATGAACTAGCTACAGAAAGTCATTTACAAGCAACTAGCATCATCCAGCATAACATCATCTCGCAATGAACCCCCTCACTGATTCTATAAGGTCAACAAAGCAGTACATTTACATCAGTCTGAACCAAAAGAATGTGCAGCAGGGAATTATTGCAGCCTGCTGGATGGAACAAAATATCGATTGCCAATTTCATAATTTCAAGAAGCTAAAGAAATTCAGAACACTAAAACAGTCATTTATAAAATTTAAAGGTCGGCAAAAAATATGGCTCACAAGTCACAATTACACACAGATAAGCTGCAGACAAGGAAAGACAGCATTAGTAAGCCATCCAAATAGCAGCTCGGTCAAATTTGAGCAAGAGAGCAACAACACAATAAATTAATCAATGCCAACTATCATATCTGACTAAAAGAGGAAAATTGTAACCAAGCAAAGCAAAACAAAAACCAATATAACACAGCGTATACAAATGATTTTCCCAACACATCAAGTTATAGCAACCGATAATAGCAAACTCCCTGTTAATCAGAGTTAAACAAGGATAAAAACAAAAGGCCAAGCTTCCAATTTCGCAAAAGCCTGCAAGGCTACAAAACAGCAGAAATATTTAGTAAAACTAACCGAAACCTGGATTTTCATTTCCCCAACAAAAGAATTCTTAATTCATGACTCATCCAAGTTTCTAACTGGTTTTTGAATGAAGGTGTGAAGCTAATGGGTGATAATGACAGGATTGCAGTGGAGAAGAAGTGGAAGGAGTTCAAGTTATTGGAGTGTGAACTATCTGTGAAGAAGCGAAAATTAATGCTTGAGCACATGGAGAAGGTTCATAAAGGAATAAAATCACATGGGAAATAAGGGAGAATGCAAATAAGGTTTTCTTTAGTTCATGGCATCCAAGTTTCAGACTTTAGACTTTGAATCGTTAGCTTCAAGTTCATATTTCTGCTCTTTTGTAGCAGGCTTTTGCGAAATTGGACTTGAATAGTTAGCTTCAAGTTAAATATTTCTGATGTTTTGTAGCAGGCTTTTCTGAAATTAGAAACTTAGATGCCATAAACAAAAGAAAACCTTACTTGCATTCTCCCTCATTTCCCATGTGATTTTATCCCTTTATGAACCTTCTCCATGTGCTCAAGCATTAATTTTCGCTCCTTCACAGATAGTTCACACTCCAATAACTTGAACTCCTTCCACTTCTTCTCCATTGCAATCCTGTCATTATCACCCATTAGCTTCACACCTTCATTCAAAAACCAATTAGCATCCAGCCCACCATCATTTGGAGCAAAACTAAACCCCTTCTCTTTCTTCCTCTCTTTCTTCAATTCTTCATAATCAATCACCACTGTAGTACTCCCAACTTCCCTCTCATTGCCCCATATCTTTTTAGACAGAGTGTAAAGGCTTTGCTCGTGAGGGTTGGACAAAATCCATTCTTTCCCTTTTTGCAGCTTCTTCTCCTCCTTCTCCGCTTTGTTAATGTACTTTTCCCTCAGCCTCTTCATTTTTCGGATCAACTGACCCTTGATTATGTCACCACCTATCTTTTCCTTGATGAACTCATAAAACTCATTTTTTTTCTCAAAAGGGTCTGATTTAGTGTTGGCAGAGAAAACACCCATGCCCTCCAAAATAGCAATCTCATCTTCCTCGCTAAATATTCGCGAGAAACGCATCTTCTCATCATTCCCATCAATACTCTTCCCAGAATTATCGGTCTTAGCCCTCTTTGCATTCACAGAAGGAGGCTTTGTTGCTGCCCTCTTAGAACCGGCAGTGGCGCCCTTAGTCGGAGAAGGATTCGGCCTTGGATTCTTAAGGTTCACAAGGTCGTTGGCAACGGTATCTTCGTTGGCGCCGGTATCTTCACCGGACTCGGATAAAGAATCAGAGTCTTCGGATTCGGCTTCGGATTCGCCGGTTTCTTCACCTTCTTCATCGGAGTGAACTGGAGGCGGATTATCTTCAGTAGATTGACGGGATTTTGCCATTGATGAGAGAAAGAGCGGAAGTAGAGTGGAAGGGGCTCAAAATTGAGAACAACAATTGAGGATTTCAATTTGCAGAAAGAGGTTTTAGGTTTGAGTGGGAGAGAGAGAGAGTTTGAGTTTGAGTTTCTGCCTTTTTGGGGAAATAAATAGACGAGAAGGGGATTTTGACAGGAAAGCCGAACGGGCAGGTCTCGGGAATTCACAATAATTTCATCGAGAGAGAGAGAGACCCCAACGTAAGGATCCATCAATGGCTGTACTATTTTTTGGACTTAGGAAACCCAAATCAATGGTGCCTTTCACTTTTTTGTCTATGTGTTATGATATGTTAAAATAATTTAGGTGTTGTTTGGACGTCCGCTCATTTTACATTTTAATTTATTCTATCTCTTAAACACAAAATTCAATTTAAAAGAAAATATAATTTAAACAACTTTCTGATTTACATTTTAAATTCTAACTTGAAACACTTTTTGTTAGTGTAATGACTATTTTAGAACTACAAATAATTCAGTGACAAATTTGACAGGATTCTGGTGTTGAGTGATTGTTTTTGGAAAGTTCTTTTTTGCAGTGACTATAATTAACAGTATTTAATTATTTAGTGATGACTCATACTTGATATTTTCAAAATGTAGTTCAAAATATTTTTTTCAAAACCAACATCCAAACAACTTTTTGCTCAAAATACCATCCAAACAACATTTTCATTGCCTATTTAGTTTTCAACTTGAAACACTTTCCACATTTAAGTGGCAAAATGAAATGTAAGATGACGTCCAAACAAGCATTTAGGGTTTTACCAAATATAGCTTGACAGAAAAGCAACGAGAAAGTAGACGTTTGAATTAGCAAGAAAAAGGAAAGAAGGAATAAAGAAAAAGACAGAAGAGGAGCGAATGGAGATGACAGCAAGGAGAGAAGGACAAGATAGAAATCAGAAATTAGAGGGAAGAATCTTTATAATGCATATCATAATCCGGATCATAGTACGTTCTCCCTATATATTACATGATAGATAATTTTAAAAAAGCAGAAAATGGATGTCATTATCCAAAAGTGATCACTTGCTAGCTGTTTGCTGCGTCAGCTGGAATCCGAGGCTGAGTTTGCATGAACTGCATGTGATCAAAACCGCAACGACGACGTTTCTGATGAAATTGAAAAACCAAATTTACTTAATTTTTGAAAATAAGATCGGCTGCATGACATTCCCTCCTCCTTAAGTTAAAACTCGTCCTCAAGTCTGAAATTCTGGAAACTGATTGCTGATGAAGTGACTGTCTTCCCAAGATGCATCTTCTGTAGGAAAATCTTTCTATTGAATGAGCCATTGCACCACACTTTGAGTTCCTCTCTTGATGAATCTTCTCTGCAAGATCTTTTCTGGAATCAGATAATTTTCTGTTTCATCTGACTGACAGCTTCATGGTGACCTTTCCTGCTAATGACTTCTGTTTGTGAGGATGCAACTTCAAATACACCCAATCCCCTATCATCAAAGTCCTTTTTGTCCTTTTCTGATTAGCATAGAATACCATCCTTGATTAAGCTTTTTGCAGATTCTCCTTAAGTGTTTTGATCACCTGTGCCTTATGATTCAACATATCTTCAGCAGCTAGTATGATAATTGATTGGTAAGGACCCAATGGGATCATTTCTGGTTTGTGACCATAGAGAGCCTCAAATGGAGTCATTTCAGCACTAGTATAGAATGAGGTGTTGTACCACCATTCAGCGAGAACTAACCATGATGACCAAGAGTTAGGAGAATGACTGCTATAACATCTTAAGTAAGCTTCCAAGCATTGATTCACCCTCTCAGTCTGTCCATCAGTCTGAGAGTGATAAGAAGTACTCAAACTCAGTTTTACTCCCATTGTAGTGAAGAGAGCCTTCCAGAAATGGCTTGTGAAAATTCTGTCTCTATCACTAAAAATGTCATCAGGAATTCCATGGAGTCTAAAAATCTCTTTGAAGAAAACCTCAGCGATTTCTTTAGCAGTATATGGATGTTTGAAAGGAACAAAGTGAGCATACTTTGTTAAACGATCCACAACTACTAAGATTGAGTTGTAACCATCTGTGGAAGGAGGAAGTTGATCAATAAAATCCATGCTGATACTTTTCCAAGCTTGTTGAGGTATTACTAGAGGTCAGTAACAACCCGGGATAAGGTAGATGTTCCCATTTATGAAGTTGGCAAATACGCAAACTCTCACAAACTCTTCCACTTCACTTCTCATATTCTTCCAAGTAAAGATATTCCTCGTCTATGAAAGGTAGCTTTCGGCTGAATGTCCACCTAGAGGGATGAATGAAAATTCTCCATTAATGACTTCATGATACCTCCTTTGCTGCCAACATATATCTTTCCATGTTGCTTTAAGATCCCATTGATATATTGTAGCTCGGATGATGAGTTGCTTCTAACATAGCAGAGGTGATCAAGTTTTGAGCCTCTTCATCATCAATGTAGCTATCTTCCGATTCTTTGGATACACATAGGCTTCACAATTGATACAATCGTGGTGACATTCAAAGTTTGCTCCTCACTCGATTCCTCCTGGAGAGAGCATCGCAGCAATAGAATGAAGCACAGTGAGGGCCTCCTTCACCGATTGGAAAACTGAATCGGCCTTGGAATTCCAATAGAATGCATCTTTTCTTAGTAATGCATTCAAAGGTTTGCAGATGATACCAAATCCTTTAATGAATCTCCTATAAAACCTAGCCAATCCTAAGAAGCCTCTCAACTCCTTAACAGTTTTTGGTTCTGTCCATTCCACTATACTTTGAATCTTTTTCTGATCCATTTGTACACCCTTCTCTGATATTGCATGGCCAAGATACTCAATAGAAGTTTGAGCAAAAGCGCATTTAGACTTTTAGCAAAAGCTCATTTTTCTCGAGTGTTTGCAACACCACCGTCAGTGGTTCAAATGTTCTTCCATGGTCACACTATAAATCAAGATGTCATCAAAGAAAACAAGTACAAATTTTCTAAGATAAGGCTTGAATACCTGATTCATTAAGGCACGGAAAGTTGCAGGAGCATTTGTTAGGCGAAAAGGCATTACAACAAACTCAACTGTTCATGATGAGTTTGGAATGCAGTTTTTAGTATATCTTCTTCTCTCATCCTTATTTGATGGTATCCTGCCCTTAAATCAATCTTAGAGTAATAATTAGCTCCCAACAACTCATCCAACAGCTCCTCTATCACTGGAATGGGGTATTTTCTTTTTACTGTTAACTCATTTAAATGCCTATAATCAGTGCACGTTCTCATAGTTTCATCATTCTTTTGCACTAATAACACATGTGAAGAGTAAGGACTGTTGCTTTCCCTTGCAGTGCCTTTTTTAAGCATTTGATCCACTTGTTTCTCTATCTCAGCTTTGTGGTCATGTGGATACCTATAAGGCTTCAATTTAAAGGGGACTCATCCCGGTTTCAAGCAGATTTGGTGATTCACCGCTCTCTTTGGAGGCGGTGAAGTTGGTTCAGCAAATACATCATTGTATTGTTCTAACAAAGCAAGGCGATTTCGATGGCAATTCATAGGGAAACAAAGCATGAAGGTATTCAGCATCCTCTTCTATTCCTCTCTGTATCACGCCTTCTTCTATAGTCATCTTGCCTCCCGACTTCCTATTCCCATTCCCACTGCTCTCTTCTTCTTTTGCAGTGATTAAGATTTTCCATTACTTCTTCGACCTTTTTATGAGCTTCATAAGCTTGACCTTGGAGAACATACCTTTCTCCTCTCTTGTTTAATTGGATGCAAAATCTGTCATAATCAAATAGTATAGGACTGAACTTTGACATCCAATCTGTGCCCAATATGACGTCCCATTCTCCCAGTTCAACCACCTTCAAATCAAACCTAAAATCATACTGTTGTATAGTCCATATTGCTTCTGGACAGATTTGGTCATTTCTAATTCTGTATCCATCAGCAACAGTAACCACAAAAGGTCTACATCTTCTGGTTATCATCTTCATTCGATTGACTAATTTGGAGTCAATGAAGCTTAATTCTAGTGGCTCCTGTGTCTATTAAAATCTTGATCAGAATATGATTGATATAGCCAAAGATGACTATAATATTTCTATCCTCTTCTTCTAGTGCCCAACATTCTTCCAGTTGAGTAATGGTCTGAACTTGATCATCTGGCATCTTCACGATCTCACCAGCATCATCAGCTTCTTCTTCAAGAAAGTTGAAATCACTCAAGTCTTCCCCTTCTTCTGCCACTATCACATTGATATGTTTAAGTTTACAGACATGGCCTGGTCCGCATTTCTCTGAGCATTTCCAGCAGAGATTGTTGTTACTTCTATACTGTATTTCCTGAGGGGAAAGCCTCTTGAATGCTTCATTTCCATTTCTTCTGTTGAGGTTTGTGTTGGCTCTCATGGTATGAGGAGTTCTCACAGAAGAAGGATAACTTATTATTGCAGAAATGTTCCCAACCTTGTTTTTGAGTGCAAAAGCCAAAGTCTCTTCTTGAACCATTGCTATTTCAAAAGCTCTCCTCAAAGTAGCAGGTTCTTATGGTCTCGCCATCGGCTTCAACTGCTCTTTCAACCCACTAATACAGTTAGAAATAAAGTATCCGTCTGTCAAATGAGGATCCTCACACGACACCAAGGATTTCAATTCTTCAAATTGTTCATGATATTCTTTTACAGTTCCTACTTGTTGAAGTTTGTTAAACTCCTCAATTTCATCTTTCCCTCCTTTCTCTCCAAACCTCTTTAATAACTCAGTCTCAAATTTCTTCCACGAGATTTTATCTTTAATCCTTTTTAGGCTTCTGTACCAAGTATCAACCTTCCCATCTAAGTATAGTTCAATAACACCTAACTTCCTTGATTCCGTTACTCCATATATACTAAAGAACTTCTCACACTTTCTTAGTCATTCTCTAGGATTTTCACCCACAAAATTCGAAAGCTCTAACCTAGGCTGAGAGATCCACAGTTGCTTACTA